TAGTCATCTTTCGATAAAACATCGTCAGGTGGTATCTTGGACAACTAACGCCTTTGTATACTTCAAAGATAGGCATTTTGAACTTCGGAGGAATAATTGCGCCTGGAACTAAACATAAGTCATGAGCATCCAGATCAGATGCATCAACTCCTTTCATCATTTTCAATTTTTCTTTAAGATCGCGAAATTCTTTCTCCATTGCTATGAATCTAGGATCATCCATTTTCATCTTAGTAAGAACATTCTGAAGATTAGGTACAGGCTGTGGAAACTGGGAATCTTTTCCATTAATTTGAACAAACAAGTTATCTTGCACAGGCTGAGGTTGTGTAGGAACACCCACTTGTTGAACATAGTCATCAGAAGGAAGATCAAACAACGGATTAGTCGCAATTCTGAAGCTAGTCATAGAATCCATATCTTTGTTCTCTTTACTATCCTTCAATAATACTTCGAGCTTGGTCAGATGGTCGAGATGTCAGCTGACAGACAAAGACAGAAGATCGGATAATGAGGATGCAATGGAGAAGAGACACATGCACATGCTAAATGCAAGATGCGGAATGGTAATGCAAGAATGCAGATGAGCAGTTTCATGGAACTCAAGTACTTATAAACGTTACAGAATACCAAAGAAAATTTATTTACTATTTTTTTTTTGATATTTTTTATTTTTTATTTTATATTGGATTACAAGTGAATATTCTTATAAGAGTCCTAACATAATAGCTAAATAAAGCCCTAAGGAAGTCCTTCATCGTGTTTGTTGATTTGTTCCTCCACTTGGATCTTCTTGAAGATAAGTGGTCCATAATCGTCTAAAGATTAGTTTGATAGAGGAAAATAAATCCTCCATCTCTTCTTTTGTTCTTGTTGGAAGTAAGGGGGAAATCCCTTTTTGACTTGGATCTTCAATGATAATGAGAGTCTTTTAAACTTCTAATGATCCTCCATGATAAGGGAAATCCCTCTTGTATTTGTCTTTTGAGTTTTCTTCAATCTGAGCTCCTACTTCCTTAGGCCATCCAAGTTAGGACTCTTAAAAGAATATTTCAAAATATTTTCTTTTGTAATCCATGTTGGTTTCTGTAATGTTTATAAATAAACTAGGAGTTCCATGAAACCGATGCAATATGATGCTATATGTATGCAGCAGACACAAGTAAGCACATAGATAGACAAGGATAAACAGACAAGGGGGACCCTAGGTTTGCAACGAGCATGGAGCGAAGGTATACCCATTTCCAAAGGTTGTGGACTAAAGGTTGATTGTACCTGCAGAACAAGGTTCTAAAGTTGTTCCCAAAGTCATCAGTCCATCTTTCGGATATTATCAATTTCCCAACTGACTCGGGGATTAATAATATTCTCAAGAGAACTTCTTTTGAGTGTAGCATCGCGTAGCACTATTTCGGGATTACTCCCTCATAGTCTCGCACTACGTCCTAATAAAGGCCAAAGTGGGGTTAAAGGTAACTACGGTCCTTAGTATCATGGACTCCAATTGAGAATAGTAAAAGTTTTCATGACTAAACTCGTTCAACCGAACCATTTTCAAAAGGGTCTCAACTAAGCGGGATTCTCGAGTCAACTTAGTCGGGACTCACTCGCTATAAGCCTCATCGAATATATCACCATCCTATCATAATTTCACTCAAGTCCGGGTGTAGAACTTTGTCTCACCACTCAAGGATACCAATCCAAAAGCAATAAAGAATAAAAAAATAATCAAATAAGCAAGTAAGCAAATATATAAAGCAATAAAGAAACAAAACAAGATAGGGAGACCCACTGAGGCTATCCCCAGTGAAGTCGCCATTTCTGTCGCGGTGAAAATCGAATACCAAACTATTGATTAGTTTGAATCTTATTCATTTGCAACCGAACTTTGATTTGTCCAAAGGAAGGGATAAAGATCGAAATTCCCACAATGCAATGCAAATGCAAGCTAGAGAGTTATAGGTTCGGGGGTCGGTTAAACTTAGGGAAGGTGCTAGCATCCTAAGTTTCTGTAGTACTCTACAGGAACCTCTTGTTTTATGTTTATTTATTGCTAAGGATTATCTGCTTAAGGTAAAAGACCTAGGGGTTTATTTCTATGTATACTCGATAAGATATCGCATCTTATGCCTACATATCCTTACGGGAGTGGAATCAGAGTATCTGTAGTTCCCCTAAAGGGTTTAAGGAGTTCTTTGACTGTGGTCAAAGTTCCTACGGGTTTAGGGTAGTTGATTAATTGATTTTAGGAGAAAAGATGAGTTATCATTTTAAGAGAGATTACTTGATTTTAACCGCCACAACTTTGTAGGAAAATAGTCTTTGCGTCGTTTTAAGAGAAGGGCTCAAGCACTCGGAAATTAATCGACAAGTACACCTCTATCTCTCTTAAGGCAAAGTCCCCACGAATTGATTGAATTGTTATGGGGTAAGAGTTTTATCTCACTTAAGATGATTAACATCTTATTCTCTAATGCGTTTGAATAGTGTTGAGTTGAATTGTTTGTATCTAAGTTGTAAAGATAAAGGTCCTTCCTATAGGGTAGGATCTAACTTAGAGGATCGACTTGAATGGGATCAAGGATCGAGGGGATTATGATGCAGATGATGTGTACGCACAATTGTTTAAGTCATGCGCAGATTCTTCCTTTGGACGGAATGCAGTGCGGTAAGATAAATGCGAAAAAGTAAATTGCGGATAAAAGTAAATTGCGGGTAAAGATAAAACATACACACGCATGAAAGCGCTAGGTGTGTGAAAGTGTGAATTGTGAATAATGTGAATGTGTGGATACAGAGACGTGCGCGATTGATTTATTAGGGGATATTGATTTTAGGCGGATTAATTTTATAAGAAAAATATATTAAAGGGTGAGATTAATTTTGAGAAAAGTTATATTAATTATGACTTAGTGGGATTGTAATTGATTCAAATTAGTGAAATGAGGTAAAGTTATAAATTATTTAGATTTTCAGGTTTTTAAATAAAAGGTTTTAATATATTAAATAAGTGGTTTTTAAATAAAAGATTAATTTAGATATGAAATGGTTTAATTTTAAATAAATGTTGTGCCGTTGTTATTATTACTAAATAAATTGTAAAAAGTTGTTTATTATTAGACAAAAGTTATTTAAATTTAAGAAGAAAGGAGAGATATTAATTAGAAAACATAAGTTAATTAAAAGGAGAGATATCTTGTCTTTTTTTTTGGTCCTCCTCTTCCCTGCAATTCTTGTTCTTCTTATAGGCATGAGTGGGTGCTACCAATTGATGGATTATTAATGGGGTTTCCATTCCAATTACAGACATTTCGATTACTGTTTTGGAAAGGATTAAATCAGTTCTAATGTGAATTGAAACTTGCCCTTTCTGACTTATTTTGTCTAGTGTTTGTTGTAGGCCCAACACTCGGTAATCATGGTAATCAATGTTGGGATTTCAATGGCTTGCTTCAGTTTGCTAAGGAAACGGCCCAAACATTCAAGGGTCTTCACTAGTTGATAATAACCTTCATGAGATAAGAAATCTCCCTTACGGCGAAACCGGCAGCCTTGGCAAGGTACAGAGATCCCCTTCCTCTTTTGAATGAACTCTAATCCATATCTTTGTTGGTAACATTGCCTGTTTGATCTTGGTATACTAGCTGGAGGAGTTTGCTTATAAAACCACCGTGAATGTGAGCTGTTGTTGCTGAGTTTTCTTCAAAACTAATGTGAGTTTAACTATGCTCCTTTCTTGGTCTGAGGACTGCTCAAAAGGTAGCTTCTAAGATGCTCCACACGAATTCGGTTTAAGCTTTGATTTGGTGTGGGCACTGATCTTGTTTTACTGATTACTTGCAGCAGCTGGATGTGAACGGTGAGTTTTCGTCACATGTCGGCTTTGATACTCGAAACAAATACCTCAGTTTTGAATTCTCTTTCTTTTGCAGAGGTGTACAAGCTATTCCTCAAGTTATGTGGCGCTTATGTTCGATATTTCAAGGTCTCCGTTTGACGGTGTTTAGAGGTAATCGATGGTAATGGCTCAGTTTCAACATTAATAGGATAAGATAACTTGGCAAAATCTTTAGAAGCTTGAATTTGAGTGATTATGTCCGACAAACCCAGACCACCATTTCGGTTACTACCTTTATAGACACCATAAGCAGTAGGTTCTGTTGTTGAAGAGCTTGTCAAGTGATTGGATGCAGAGATAGTAGCAGATATGTTCAAGCCTCTAAGCATGCTTTCAATTTCTTGGATTCTAAATCTTTCTACGGCAAAACCAACAAAGCTGATAAGGTAAAAAGACCTTGCACTTCACAATTCTTCTGAAGTTTTGTTGCCTTGACTTAACATACTTGTTAATACTCTGGTGATTCGATATTATCTTAACAGGTTGGTAAATCCTTCATCATAGCGATAATAAGGCCAAATGTGACTCCTCTGATTATCTTGTTGTAGGTTCTGAAGAAGAGTGGTGTACGACCATAATTAGAATCAATTCAACAATGGCGGCATTTAGCATTTGAGGACATAGTCATGCGTGAAGGAAATAGGTCCAGACGGCAACAACTCATGAGAACCAGCTGCACTCGAAAATTAGGCTCCACAAACTTGGTGCTTCAAGAGTTTTTCTAACAGATAAAACCGAGCTTGCGACATGTCATCCACCTTCTGCAATGGCAGTTTTATGTATCTGCAGAATTCTGTTCTTGTAATTTCTTGGTTTTGATATGTTGAGCATTGACAATAATTTAGTTAGGCTGCACTTGTGAGAAGTCATAGTGATCTGAAACGTGTAACTTCAATTGTTGCTTCTTTTAAATAAATACTCAATATGAATTCTCCCAAACTCACTGGGAAAATTTGGATGAGCCATTTAAGGCTTATATCATTAGCTTTACGGGGTAAACTTAGTTTACTACAACTTTAAAATGATCATGTCTCTAGATAACACTTTTGTATCATACAAAAACGAAAGGAATACAGTGGCAATCCTCAAAAGTGTCAAATTATTATACTCTCTCATAAGGAAAACATCCTTCTATGCAAGCTCTCCAGCGCTCCACCCAATGAAACTTCAGCTGACTGGCTCCATAAAATGATAATGCTACTAGTGAAGTCATCACAGAGATTGTGCTGAATAGAAGGACTATGATGGCAAACACCATCATGGAGGATGAATTTCCAACGACAAGAAATACCGGAAGTGTTGTAGTACAAGGAGATAGTGCAGGAACACGAATATGGCCAGCTACTGCCATTTTCTTCATGGGTTGGTTGTACGAATGACTATGGCCGCCTTTTCCCATAAGAAACAGCACAATATACATACCGCCGAGAAATATGAGCAAAAGTGAAGCAAGCTTATGCACTATTTCTTCGCCAGCAATGGTGTTTGCCATGGTAATTGTTGTTATGCTAAGCAGTGAAGTGGATATTATATGAAAAATTGCTCCGAAAGAAAAAGTTGAAACTTTATGAGCCTCGGTCTTAATGCCATATGGAACCTCGTACACCAAATCATGCCACCTTAATTTTAAAGAGACTGCAACGTTACTTTCACACCATGACTTATGATTTCTTCCAAATCCTTTGCTTTGATGAGCTCCCTTCCATCTGATGACCTTGATAACAGGTTGACTTGTTTTGGGACCAGCTAAATTAGGGTCAGAGGGTCATGTCGGGAAGGATTGGATTGTAAGTGTCATCCTCACTTGAACTCAAAACACCTACACAGGTTGGTTAGTGGCAAGAACATTAAATATTAAAATAAAGTCAAATAACAATAGAAAAAACGCAAAAAGTGGTGGGATCCTACGGTCAAAATTAGGGTGCAACAGATGCCCCTATTTAAGTTACTTCTATCCGGAGATATGGAGATGGAAATATTATCAGGATCCCAATGCCCATTCCATTTAGTAGGATAGCCGCGTGGGGATATTATCAGGATTCCAACGCCCGTTCCATTCTTATGACTTGATCCATGGAAATATAAATTCCAAGGACCTATGTTGACCATTAAAAGCGGTGAATCGACCACTGCATGGTCGACGATGAAATCTTCCACTATTTGTCCCTTCATCTCCCTCAGCGGGACATAGGTCAGGGCGAATTTAGTCAGTGCTAGTGCCCACTTCCCAATTCGGCTATGCAAAATAGGTTTAGACAACATATGCTTAATAATATCAAAATGCAAAGACACATAAACTTCAACTGGCTTTATATATTGTTTCAATTTCATACAGGAGAAGTATAAGCATAAATACAACTTTCTAATCATGGAGTACCTAGTTTTAGCATCTACCAACATTCGACTAAGTTAATCAATGGGTCTTTCGACGCCATAATCATCCTCTTGTTCTAAAATGCTTCCTATGGTTATGTCTGATGCAGCGATGTATAATCTCATGCTCTTGTTCATACTGGATGGCAATAAAATAGGAGGCCTTGTAAGGTATCCTTTGATGGTGTCGAAGGCCTCTTGTTTCTCCTGCCTCCAGAGAAAGTCACTCTCTTTCTTGGTCTTGAGCAATGGCGAGAACACCTTCGTCTTACCACTTAGGTTGGATATAAACCTTCTTAAAAAGTTTATCTTCCTTAACAAAGACTGGAGTTGTTTCTTCGTCGAAGGGGGCTTCAGGTCCAAAATTGCCCTAGTTTTGTTTTGGTTGATCTCAATGCCTTTCTTGTGGACTATAAACCCCAAGAAATCCCCTGCATGCACACCAAAAGCACATTTTAGTGGATTCATTTTTAATCCATATTTCCTCATTCTCTCAAATTAGCATTGAAGGTGGTTCAAATGACCATCTTCCGATGAGGGTTTTATGAAAATGTCGTCAATACATACCTGCATAAAATTTTCAATAAAGTCATGAAATATAGCATTCATGGCTCTTTGATAAGTTGCCCCGGTGTTTTTTAAACCGAATAGCATCACCACCCACTCATACGTTCCCAAGGCCCCTGGGCACCAGAACGCTGTTTTGGGTACATCATCTTTGGCTATGAGGATCTGGTTGTAACCAGAGTACCCATAAAGCATACTCAAATACTCAAAAACTGCTACCAAATCGACCAAGAATTTTTCTACCGGCATGGAGTATTCGTCCTTAGTGGTAGCATTATTTAGATCCCTAAAATCTATACAGACCCTCAGAGTCTCATTTTTCTTAATAACTAGGACTATGTTTGCCAACCATTCGACGTATCTTGCAGTCCTTATAAACTGGCTTTTGAGCAGTCTCTCAATTTCCCTCTTGATCTTTAAAGTGATTTCTGGAGCGAAACATTATGGCTGCTACTTTACTGGTCTTTTTCCTGGTTGAATTGGAAGTTGGTGTTCCACCACACTCCGACTTAGTCCAGGCATCTCATCGTAATCCCATGCGAATCAATCTTTGTATTCCTTCAATACCTTAACTAGTTTGAATTTCATATCCGACCCAACCTTAGTGCTTATGTGCATGGGCCTTTTTGTCGCCCCGTCCCCCAAGTTGGCTTCTTCAAGTGGGTCTTGGGCCTGCATTCTTTGTAGCTTGATTGATGGGCTTTTCTCAAACCCCAAAGGCTCGTTGTCATAAATGCAATCAAGCTTCCAGCTTTATGAAGCTGTTGTTTGGCCTTGTCGACCAATTATTTGTGTATAGTTGTCGGTGTTTCTAGACATGTTCTGTTTATTCCTTGCTTCTAGTACCGACTTTTGTTTGTTTTCAGCCAAGTAAGCCAAAATTCGAGTCAAACTCTCTGACTCAGTAGTTATTTTCATCAGTCGTGGTCCACCCTATGGGTGGAAGTTCCTCTGTGGGTGTCATTGTAACGTCGACAGCATCCCAAACGAACCTGTAATCAGGATCCAAGTTCAAGACGTGACCCGTGTCGACAGAGGTGTAAGATCCCGACCCATCATCACAAGGTGCCACATTTGTTAGGTGCTGGTCAAAGAATTTCTTGGTACCATTTGTTTCATCCATCCTGTAATAACTTTGGTCAGCTTCGATGTTCTCAACGACGTCGTCCTTTCGCCATATGCTCAATCTTTGGTGGAGTTTTGAAGGCACCGCTCATATCTCATGGATCCATTCTCGACCCAATAGGAGGTTGAAGTTTGTCTTCGAGTTTATGACCATGAAGAGCATTGATCGGGTAGTGGTGCCCACAACTAGGTCAACTTGGATCACCCCCAGAATGTTGTTGGTTTTCCCTTCGTAGTTGGATAGAACCATGTTGTGTTGTTAGAGATCAGCTTCAGTTTTTCCAATCTTTGTGAACAACGAGTAAGGCATTAGATTGACGGTTGCCCCTCCATCTACGAACACCTTGTTTACTACTACCTCGTCGATCTTTGCGTTTATGAATAATGGTTTCAAGTGGTACATCATCCCAGGAATAGGTCTTTCAAACATGGTTGTTCGTTCTTCCACCACCCCGTTGTTCATCACATAGTAGCATAGAGGCTTGTCTGCAGTGGCCTCTTCCGTCAGGAAATCCTCTTCCACCTCAGAGACTTCCAACACCTTATCATACTCTGCCGGTAATATCAAAATGATGCTACAGTTTATAATAAAATCTTCTCCATAGGTGTCATCATTGGTTTCGTCATACATATCTTCGTCGAAGTCGTCTTCCGGTAAAGGGTCATATTCCCCCTCCGACTGAGGAGTATACTCTGGTTCTTCTTCATCCGACTGGGGCGAGTACTCCGGTTCTTTTTTGTTTTCACTCTCAGATATGTACTTCGAACTCTGGGTTGACGCTACCCCCTTTTCTCCTAAAGTCTCAACTGTTACAAGCATTGTCTGGTTCGTCACAAGTTTTCCTTTCTCGACCCACTTCGTCTGTGGGTGTTGTCGTTTCAGGCCCGCGGGTCCCATAGATTTCATAGTCAAAGTCGAAGCTTCTCTTGTTGCCTTCTTATTTCGTTGATATCGCCTCCATTGGGTCCTTGTCATGGGGTTTTTCCCCTTGTAGTTAGGAGACACCTTGTACCCTTTGGGCTCAGCATCCTTGTCTGGGGCCTTTGCCCCCTTCTCCAAAGCCAAAGCCTTCCACTTTAGACGTTTGCTTCCTTGTTATCTTAATGGTGCCATCCACTTGTCTTGTGGGGTGTTTGAGGGTGGTACAAACATTTTGGGGCACGCCGGTTGAAACAACTTTCTGTATTCTTCGTTTCGTCGAGGGACATCGTCTTTTTCAAACACAAAATGAGAGACCTGTAGCTTGCCTTCTGGAAATGTCTCTTCTTTGCTTCATAATTCTCAACGACCTTTTCTTCGAACACGATGTTGCATTTTAGGCATAATACTACCCTCGACCCGCTCACCCTGCATTTATTCTGGAAATCAATTAGACTCGCCATTTTGAGGGTAAACTGCCTCAAGCATCTCTTCAGTCTTCTTGTAAGGACCATCAGTAGCCTCGACCATCATGCACTCAACCATTTTAGTCATTCGACACTCATTGAGACCTTCAGTAGCCTCTACCATCATGCAGTCATATGGCTCAGAATACAAAGCCTCTTCGACTTTCAGAGGATTCGTGTCCATTTGCATTTTGGGTCTTTCGCCGAATTAAAGTCGACCTTCCTTCAAAGCTTTCTTCACCAAATCCCTGAAAAGAATACATTGAGATGTCTTATGACTCAGAAAATTATGAAATTTACAAAATCCCTTTTTTTTCTTTTGTTCCAACAGGGGATTTTTTACCCCAGGGGGGACAATAATCTAACCATGTTTAACCAACAAATCAAATATTTCATCACACTTAGATACATCAAAAGTATACATTTTTGTGACATATTTGTCTGTTTTTTCAGTTTCGACAGGATTTTTTCCATTTGACGGTTTTAGTGATTTGCATGCGTACGAGGACCCTGGCTTTAGTTCAGCCACGTTGACCGCGTTACTCTCGACAAGGTTCTCAACAGTAGATGAGTATTCTTCAGTGGTCATATAACTTTATATTTTTTGCGATATCTAGTGGCCTAGGTTTTCTCATTTTTTAGACGCTTGATATGACAGACTCTATCCGCTAGCTGAGCCATGTCTCTGAGATATTGCATGTTGTTGCGGTGAAATTTGGATGTCAAGCTATTGATTAAATTGAATCTTAATTCATTTACAACCGGTCTTTGATTTATCCGAAGGAAAGGTTAAAGAAAGGGGAAAACCTATTTTGAATTGTAAACACAACGCGGGGAAAGTTCTAAGGTTCGGGGGTTGGTTAAGCTTAGGGAAGGTATTAGCATCCTAAACTTCTGTAGTACTCTACAGGAACCTCTTGTTTTAATATGCTATAGTTATCTGCTTAAGGGGATGCTAAGGGTGAAAGGTTAAAGAGAAGGACCTAAAGGGTTAGTCCTAAGTATACTCGCCAAGACTCGCATCTTGTGCCTACGTATCCT